CATAAATAGACTTCTTCAATCTACACACAAGCTCACCCGAATCATCAGCTGCAAAACCTTCGGGTTGCACCATATAGACTTCCTCATCAAGGTCTCCATTTAAAAAGGCAGTCTTAACATCCATCTGGTGTAACTCCATATCAAAATGAGCTACCAATGCCATGATCACTGTGAAAGAATCCTTAGAAGATACTGGTGAAAATGTCGCCTCATAGTCTACTCCTTCTCTTTGAGTGAAACCCTTGGCTACCAGTCTGGCTTTGAATTTCTCAATCTTTCCTTTGGAGTCTCTTTTAGTCTTGTATACCCATTTGCAACCAATGGGCTTGAAACCTTTAGGTAATTCAACAAGCTCCCAAACACCATTATATTTCATAGACTGTATCTCGTCTTTCATTGCATCCACCCACATATCTGATTGAGGACAAGAAATTACATCTGAATGAGTTACTGGATCAACCACGCAGCCTATATCGTAGTCATGCTCTCCCAGATAGACCATATAATCCGGTGGTATAGCCGATCGTCTCTGCCTGATAGATCTCCTGAGTGGAGCTACTACTTCCTCATCCTGCACCTGAGGGGCTTGAAGTACTTCATCAGGAGCTGCTTAAATAACAGGATCCTGAGCCACAATAGGCTCAGTCTGTGGTGTAGGGGTCTCCATTATCATATGTACAGGTAGAGAAATCGACACTGTAGTACCTACCATATTATTATCCTCAATGGTCTGTGAGCAACTACCCTTCTCGGCTACATCAAATTCCAGAAATTTCGCTGTCTGTGATTCGACAATTCTTGTGCCTCCATGGGGACTGTAAAACCGATACCCCTTCGAATGATCTGGGTAAGATACGAAGAAACATCGAGTGGTTCTGGATTCCAACTTGCTCAATGTTGGATTGTATAACTTTACTTCTGCAGGACACCCCCAAACTTTAAGATGATTTAGGCTAGGTTTACGTCCAGTCCATAATTCAAAAGGAGTCTGTGGAACAACCTTGGTAGGAACACGATTTCGAATGTAGAGAGCTGTTCTCAAGGCTTCACCCCATAGAAAATCAGGTAAGTTCGTCCTGCTAATCATACTCCTCATCATGTCCATAAGGGTGCGATTCCGTCTTTTGACCACACCATTTTGTTCAGGACTGCCGGGCATAGTAAATTGAGCCACTATTCCAGAACCTTCCAAGTATTTGGCAAATGGCCCTTTCAGCTGTCCAGCATCGCCATGCCTGCCATAATACTCACCACCTCGGTCAGACCTGACAACCTTTATGACTTTTCCCAGCTGTTTCTCGACTTCAGTCCGAAAAATCTTGAACTTGTCAAGAGACTCAGACTTCTCATTAATCAAGAACAGATAACCATATCGGGAATAGTCGTCTGTAAATGTGATGAAATAGAAATTTCTACACAACGTTGCAGTATAGGGTCCACTGATGTCAGTGTGAATGACTTCCAACAAGTCAGAACTACGGACTGCGGTTTTTTTCTTTATCTTGGTCATCTTACCCCTACAACAGTCTACGCAAGTATCTAGGTCACTTTCAAGAGTAGGCAGGATGTTTGTCTTTATCAGTCTTTCCACTCTTTTCTTAGAAATGTAACCAAGTCGTTTATGCCACAATGCATAAGACTGTTCCTTAGGTAGAGGTCTTTTGGAAACAACCCTTTCAGCTGTATAAGCGACGTATATATCATTGGGAGATAAACACAATCTATACAATCCATTCGATATGTTGCAGCACCCAACCTTATTTGAATCAAAGAACATAGAAACCATATTGTTCTTTATTTCAAAAGAGTAGCCACAAACATCCAAACTTGATACGAAAACTAAGTTCCGTCTGAAGGAAGGCACATAAAAGGTGTTTCTTAACATCATATTAAAACCAGAATCCAAAATTAATATGACATCTCCCACGAACTCCACGTTGACTCTCTTGTTGTTTCCTATAGTGAGCTTTAATTCATCTTGATTTGGCTTCCTTCTGTTTGTGAATCCCTGTATGGTATACGCAACATGATTAGTTGCACCGCTATCTAGCCACCAAGAACTGGATGGAGCTTCTAATAGGTTGGATTCACAAACAAGTGCCAAAGAATTAATACCTGACTGCTCACGCTTGGACAATCAAGCTTTATATCTATTGCAGTCTTTCTTCATGTGACCCTTCCTCCTACAAAAGTAACAGTGAACACCATTCTTCTTCAAGGGTGTTATCTCAGGACCCAGATGGTCCAAATGACCGGTGGTTTCAGGAGTTCCTTTCTGAGTACGATTCTTGAACTTACTACTCTTCCTGCTACTGGAACTAGAGGCATAGAAAGCATGATTCCCTTTATCTTTCTTCAGTTTCTCTTCCTCTGCCACTACCCTAACTATCAGGTCATTGATCAACCACTTTTCATCTTGGGAATTATAGTTGGTCTTTATAATTCCAAACTCAGTAGGAAGGGTGTTCAAGGCTTGATGCACAATGAAGGCATCAGAAAGGATAATCTCATGAACCTTTAGTTTTGTCTGGAGGTCTACCATCCTAAGGACGTAATCCCTAACCCCACTTGAACCATCATACCTCATATTATTGAGTAACTGCATGTATGTCCCAGCCTCAGCATTAGACAAGTCACGGTTCCTTGCTTGCAAGGTTTCCATCATTTCTTTAGCAGTGCAGTCAGCTGACAAACTACTTTTCAAATGGTCCTTAATGGATCACTTCATCAGTAACAAGCAAATCCTATTGCTCTTTGCCCAGGCGGCACTCAGTGTCTTTTCCATATCCGTACTTTCAGCAGTGACATCTGCTGGCTTATCCTCAGTAAGAGTAATATGAATATCTGCCAGCTCCATACCAAACAGAAAATCCTCTTTCCATTTCTTAAAGTTTGAACCAGTAAGAACCTAAATACTTATGGAGTTGCCGTTCAGGGAGAAGGTGACTGTTAAAAACAAGCAATATCTATAATCAGCATCATATGAGTACTTTCCTGAGAGTTACACATATCATCATATAATCACCTTTGGACAGAATACATGATATGCAATTGTATACCCTCTACATTACAACGGCCATGAGAATATATTCCAATCTTTTATGAATTCACCACCTTTGGGTGTATGAACCACTAGGATCAGTCATTCCTCACGCATGCTGTATATGCATCCCTCCATGAACCAATACATAATCACCTCCTTTGGGAGTATAATAACACATTAGAACAGGAGACATCCTAACAATACGAGACTGATATTTCTCAAACTCAATCAAGTGTGCCACTTTGGCGGTCACTACCAAATTGAATTATTGAAACTCTCTCATACTAAGGATATAAGTTTTATGTCTCACATATACTATATAGATGTAATTCTAGACCGGAAGACATGGGCAATGTCTCTAAAATTACATACCATGCTAATTACATTGCTCTATACATTGATATATGTCGAACCTTATACATACTATCAATGAAACATGATCTATACGTCCTTATGACATCATATACATGTAAGATTTAATTTGTATCTCTTAAACCATAGAGAAATACAGGAAAATACGAAAATATACCCTAAAAATACGCGTATATAAGGTTCCATATGTATTTTCACATCCTTAAAAGTATCAAACATGCAAAATAAATATATCACAGTGTAGAGAATCTTTATACGAGCACGCCGGTACCTTGCATGCTCCAATCGGAGCTCGGACGCGCCCTCACGCGCCTCCTGAAGGTGCGGCGCGTGGGCCTCACGCGCCGGCGCCTAAACCGGCCAAAAAGCCGGTCCGACCGGTCTGACCGCTTACCGGTCCGACCGGTTGACCGTTTCGATCAACTGGTCGGGTCCGGGTCGGGTCAACGGGTCGGACCCTGGGTCGGGTCAACGGGTCAGATCTGGGTCGGGTCTGGGTCGGGTCCGGAGTCGGGTCGGGTCAGCCGGATCGACCCGACTCGCAGAAAACCTAGAGCGTGCGTTGCATGCGCATGGGAACACCCGCGCGTGGCCGCGCGTGTGCCGCCGGGGCTCTACGACGCCCCGGCACGTGGCGGCGCGTGCGGTCACTCCCGGCTACCCCTGGTGGCCGGCGACCACTCATTTTTCTCGTCTCGCGATGATCTATCCATCTATGTGATTTATTCTAACATTCAACGGATGAAAAAATCAAAACCACATACGAATAGTACCGAACCGTTTCTCGACTATGGCGGCTTTGATACCACATGTTGGCCAGCTCGTATGGCTTGGCCAAGCGCCCTAGGATCACCATAGCGAGATATTAACGGTACGGTAAAAAGATGGATAGAATTTGTGCACCTGATTTGGATTCCATCAGCCTGGATGCGGAAATGACGATGAACCGGTGCCGTTTCTCCCCTGTCACCCCCGAAGTCCCAGCGCTATGAGACCGCCTCAGCCAACTCACGCAAGCCTTAGGTGAGTTTGAGAGCGTTTGAGAGAGATTGGAGAGAGTTAGGTGCAGAGGAGGGACCTGTAGCTCTATTTATAGAGTTTCCAGCCAGGCCCTCTCATAACGGGCGGGCCGAACTCGGCCCACACAAGCCGGGCCCATATCCGACCAATTAAGAAACCTTATATCCAAACTTATTAAACCAAACCCGTAAGCGGGTAATAACAATCTCAATTAATGTAACCCATATCAGGAAAACGTTACACTTGCATCTCTTGTTACGATTACAAAAACCTGATGGACTCAACAATTGTCCATGGGATTACTACCTTGTCGATCAATGACACTCTGCGACAGAGTATGGATATGTTCATAGATTGCGATAGTGGCACTTGCGATTTTCCAAACTAAATATACTGAGAAAGAGAGAGAATTCTAACTCCGATATGAAATGTCCAGGCTTATATTCTCGTTTTATTGCAAACCTCTAATTCGCTATCACATTCCTCTACTGGGTCGAAACTGAGCAGAGCACCATTAAACTCGGACACTAGCTGATTCATAAAACTAATGGCCCACAGAACTTAACAACCATCCAATTCACACAAGTTACCTTTCCACGGCATTCATCGACTCTTAATACTTACAACATCATACCAGAAATGCTGTTCAGTGTCCGCACAGAAGAAACCCCAAACCGTTTCTCTTGAGACAATATACTTTTGGTGAATACTCTCAAGACAAAAAAATGAGAAGTCAAACAAGAAAAGGGAAAGAATGGACGAATTATTTCTTGAAGCTACCATACTGAGATTGGCTAGCAAAGCTTGAGAAGAAGTCGTCTCCACCGGTCGCTTGTGATGATGTAAAACCAGACGTACCAAGACCAGTCCCTATACCTGTTGGAGTTGGCGAATACTTCAAGGACCCTTGTTTCTCATACCGGGCACGCCCACATAAGCTTAGGGAAATCGAAGTATGATCCGACGACATATGACCCCTGTGCACGGAATGTAGGAGTTCGGGGGCAGCGCCCCCGACACGGGGGTCCCACTGACCGGACAGCGGGCGAGGGTTCCGTTCCCTAGTGAGCGGACGGCGACCCTGCTCGATGGTGAGCCAGCAGGGGCTCGGGGGCAGCGCCCCCGAAACAACATCGGGTTTGCTGGCCCGTTTGTTATGGGATCAAAGGGATTTTGATAGGCTCGGGCTTTGGGCCCATTTAAGTCCTATATATATTGTACTCGTATGAGAGATCATTATAACGAGTGGTTGTGGTTGTAAACCCTAAAAATCATAGTGAAATCCCTTTGCAGGACGTAGCCCTATTCGGGAGTGAACCTGGGTAAACTCGTGCATCATTTAATTTTCTTCTATTCTCTACGTGATCATTCTGATTCGGTTAGCGATACACCCCCATCAGTACCCATGGCTCTTCCCATGTAAAATGAAGTTGGGGGACCCTTATCCCTTTTCATCCGAATCATCACTTAGCCCACCAACTACACCCATATCTGCAAGTGAAACCTTCTTGGCTGCAAGTTTTTATGAGCAAACAAAACATAGCCACATTAGTAGGCTTACAGACACTTCCCAACCACAGTGTGAGTTTGTGTTATAGTACAATAGGCATAAGTTGCAATGTGTCGTGGGTGCACAAGTGTACTGAGCACAAGGGAGGGGAAACATCCATTCTACATTCCAAAAAACCAAGTACATCATCATTTTGCTAAGCCAAGAAGGTACAGCAGCAGATATATTTAAAGGAAAAAACGTGTCAGGCTGACCCAAATAATCACAATATGAGAATGAGCCAGATGACTGATTTTGCTAGAAACAACTTCAAGGTGTTCTTGCTCCCCCAATAGGACACAATGACTTGAAAGAATTCACAGAACTTCAGCATTTGCACAATTTGTATTCCATGACATATAAATTGCTTCTATAAACGACCCCTGATAATTCGAAGAGATTGCTAATTAAACCAGATACATCTATACCACCCATTTATTTTTGTATTTAAGTTGAATGTGTAAGAGTTATAAGATATGAGGCCAGGGAACAACTGCAATGCCACAAGACGAGCTTAGATATACTTACGAGCATATATATTAAGATCAATCAGTCCACGGCTGAGGGAATCTGCCCAAATTCCAGACTTGACATGGAATGCGTCCTTCTTTGGTTGTGGATTCAAGATAGCTGAAGCTTTCTTACTTGAGTCACTCATGTTGGAATCATCGACGGGGTTTTGGGAAGGTCCTGCTGATGTTGAATCAGAACTGAAAGTGAATGAGCCAAAAGGATTAGAGCTGTCAAAATTGTTCGTGGAACAAAGAAGAAATGGATCCACTATAGGGTTAGTGGGAACAGATTGTATGGGCTTGGTTTCAGGTTGAGTAACCGGAGCTGGCGCAGCAAAGAGGTCAACCTGTGCAGAAACTGCAGAAGAGACAGCATGTGCAGAAGCAAATAGATCTACCTCAGTCCGCAAAAGAATTCATATAATCAACACATGCGCAAAATCATCGACGTTAGCTTGTGACTGAAAATAGAGTAGTTGCCCCTAAGAGATCAAATTCTTCCTTGCAGTGAAAGGATAGCAAGAGTGAGTTACAGAGCCAGTAGTAAGCAGCATCAGATAGTCCACAATTTAAAAACTTAAGAGTATCTCACCTTCTTCTCAGATGATTCTACCGAAGGAGGTGCCGAAACAAAACTTGCATCAGCAAAAAGGTCAAGCTCAGATGAATTTTCATTGAAGGAAGAAGCATTAGTCAGAACAGATATTAGTGCATCCAACAGATCTCCAATCAAGTCCTGCCCAAAAAGATCCACTTGTTTTGCATTTCCAGCACTGGACTCTGCAAAAATTTAAGCTAACTGTCAGGAGATAGCAAATAGCCTCCAGTAATTTAGTATAATGTTTCATTCTTTGATGCCATATGCAAAAGATGTCTTACCTTCACAATATTGTCTGCGTACTTCATCACTGAGAAAGAGAGAGAGAGAGGGAAAAGTGTGTTTTGTATTCACCGATAGTGTCCAATACATATACCAAAAATAAGTCATAAAGGCCCTAATGACCACTTTACCCTTTTTCTACTCTTAACACTCCCCCTCAAGCTGGAGCATATATATTAATCATGCCCAGCTTGTTACAAATATATTCTATCCTCCCATTACCCAAATGTTTAGTAAAAATGTCTGCAAGTTGTTCACCGGTTCGAATATGATTGGGAATGATCATTCCACTCTGCAACTTTTTCTGAATAAAGTGACAATCAACCTCAATGTGTTTTGTTCTCTCATGAAACACAAGGTTAGAAGCTATATGCACTGCAGCTTTATTGTCACACCATAGAGTCATGGGTACTAAAAGCTTTGAAGCCTATCTCAGTTAATAACTACTGAATCCACACTAATTCACATGTCACTTGTGCCATGGCTCTATATTCTGACTCAGCGCTTGAGCGGGCAACAACATTTTGTTTCTTACTTTTCCATGATACTAGATTTCCTCCAACCAAGGTACAATAGCCAGTAGTTGATCTCTTATCATCTGGAGACCCTGCCCAATCAACATCGGAGAATCCTTCGACTCTACTATGACCATGATTTTGGTAAACAATTCCTTTCCCTGGAGTCTTTTTCAAGTACCTCAATATCCGAATAACTGCATCCCAATGAGATGTACGAGGAGAAGACAGAAACTGGCTTACCACACTAACTGGAAAGGTAATGTCTGATCGAGTGACTGTGAGATAATTCAGCTTACCTACCAGTCTCCTGTATCTCTCAGGGTTATCAAGAATTTCTCCTCCCTCAGCAACTAGTTTGACCCTTTGTTCTATGGGTGAATCAAGAAGCTTTGACCCCAACATACTTGTTTCATTGAGCAAATCCATCATATATTTTCTTTGTGATAGAACAATACCTTTCTGTGACTGAGCAACTTCAATTCCTAGGAAATACTTCAATCTTCCTAAATCCTTAGTCTGAAACTGTTGCTGAAGATAGATCTTTAGTTCAGCTATACCAATCAAATCATCTCCTGTGATGATAATATCATCAACATACACAATCAAGAACAATTTGCCTCCCCGTGACTATTTATAAAAGAAAGAATGATCATTTCCACATCTAGATAGTCCAAAAGAAAGTACAGCCTCAAAAAATCTTCCAAACCATGCCCGTGGGGATTGCTTCAAACCATATAAAGACTTTCTTAATTTGCAAACCATAACCCCAGACTCCCCTTGAGCAACAAACCGCGGAGGTTGCTCCATATAAACTTCCTCATGGAGAGTACCATGCAAGAAGGCATTCTTAACATCAAGCTGAAATAAGGGCCAATTATATGTGGCAGCAAGGGATATCAAAATACGAACTGAAGTAAGTTTGGCAACAGGAGAAAAAGTATCTAGATAGTCAACCCCATACACCTGAGCATACCCTTTTGCAACAAGTCGTGCTTTTAAACGAGCCAGAGAACCATCGGGATTGACTTTCACAGCAAATACCCAACGACAACCAATAATAGTGTTGGTTGAAGGAAGAGGTACCAAGTCCCAAGTTTGATTAAATTGGAGAGCCTTTAATTCTTCTTCCATTGCTGTCCTCCGGCCAGAATTTTGTAATGCCTCAGATACAGACTTGGGGATTGGATATTGGTCCATAGTAGATAAAAAGGATCGAAAAAGAAGAGACACAGAAGAATATGAGATGAAGTTTGCAATAGAGTGTTGAGTACGAGTACGTGTACCTTTGCGATAAGCAATAGGGAGATCAAGATCAGATACAAGAGGAGGGTCAGCTAATGGCGGATCTGGAGCAAAAGATGACGTAGTGGTGTCTGGAGGAACGGGGGAAATAATAGCTACTCGAGGACATCGAGTATAAACCTGGAGAGGAGGAGGTTCCTGTGTAGAGACTGGTGAAGTGGTTGGAGCGGTTGACCGAAGGGTAGTCACATAGACGTCTTCATCCAACTCAATAACAGAAATTGGAACATCATGATAAGGAGTGGATTCAAAAAATGAAACATCAGCAGTTATAAAGTATTAGTAATGGAGAATAACAACGATATCCCTTTTGAGTACGAGAATAACCCAAAAACATACACTTGATTGCCTTGGGATCAAGTTTCGATACTCCAGGTCGATGATCACGAATAAAACAGACAACCAAAAATACGGGGTGGTAAGACAAAAAGTGACTCATTAGAAAACAAAAGAGGGCATGCGATTAATGAGATGTCATGCAGTTAGAACAACATTAGACCAAAAGGTTTTAGGAACCTTCATTTCAAACAACATGGATCTAGTAACATCCAATAAGTGTCTATTCTTTCTTTCAGCAACACCATTCTACTGTGGTGTATCAGGACAGGAAGATTCATGGATCATACCATATTGAGTCATAAAATCAGAAAATGGTGCAGAAAAGTACTCTTTAGCGTTATCAGAACGCAAAACTTTAACCTGCACACCAAATTGTGTATGAATTTCATATACAAATGCACGAAATATAGAAAACAATTATGAACGATTTTTCATTAGATATAACCAAGTGACCTTGGAATATTCATCAACAAAAGTAACAAAATATTTGAAACCCAAATTGGAAGCCACATGACAAGGACCCCAAATATCTGAATGAACTAACAAAAAAGGGGACGCTACTCGTTTAATGACTCGTGGCGGGTAACTAATACGATGTAATTTGCCAAGTTGGCATGACTCACACTCTAAACTAGAAATGGATCTAAAACTAGAATCTAACTTCTGAAGGCTATGTAGAGAAGGATGACCAAGGCGACAATGGATCTGATGTAAGGATGCAACACTAGGACATGCAATGGAAGGAGCGTCTTCAAGTACATACAACCCCTTTGCCTCACGTCCTCTACCAATCGTCCTCTTCGTAGCCAGATCCTGAAAAATACAAGAGTCAGGGTAGAATGTTACTGAACACCGAAAGTTTTTGGTTAATTTACTGACAGACATGAGGTTAAATGGATATTGAGGAAGGTAAAGCACCGAGGACAATGGCAAGGAAGGAGTTGGATAAACTGTGCCAACCCCCTTAACATATGTAGATGATCCATTGGCTATAGTTACCATGGATGAAGATGAAGTAAAAGAGGAAAATATACCTGAAAGACCTGACATGTGGTCAGAAACCCTTGAATCAATGATCCAAGGACGAGAAGCAGTTGAAGGGCATGCGGTAGCTTTACCTGTCTGTACCAAAGTAGCAGTGGAAGAAGCGGGCTATGAAATCTGTGACTGGGTATACCGTGCAAACTCCTCATCAGACATAACAACTACCTTGCCTTCAAAAGACTATGGAGAAGAATCAGTACCAGAAGCAGTATGTGCAAACTGTTGTTACTGCCTTGATCTTCCATGTAGCTTGTAACAAAATTTTTGAATATGGCTAGAGTTGCCACAATAATGACAAATCCGTATGACCCCTGAGTTGTTGGTAGACACATTCTGTTGGCCTTGGCCTCTCCCTGTTCCTTCACCTCGGCCTCCCCCTCGACCACCACGTCCACTACTATATCCTTCACGATTTCCTTCATCACTCCTACTACCACTACCCGATCGAGATTAAAACACAAGAGCTGAATTATCTGCCATAGATGTAATATCCTGAGGAGACTCATGAGATACCCGAAGTACTGAGCAAACGTATCGGTGAGTGATGCGATAGCCTCTCCTCCAAGAATCTGAGACCTAACAGTTTCATATTCAGGACCAATGCCTGCTAGAAATGCCATTACAGCCAATTGTTCTCTTTGAAGTTTCATTTGCTGAACATTGGCTGAAATGGGAAGAACAACATTCAACTCCTCATACATTCTCTTAAACTCAGCAAAGTATTGCGTAATAGGACGTCCCTTCCTTTCATATCGGTAAAACTCCCGCGATAACTCATAAACTCGTGACAAGTTATTTTGGCCAGAATATAATACATCCAAATACTCCCACATTTCTTTGACCATGTCAATATGGGTTACTAGATCAACTATATTATTTTCCATAGCGTTTAAGATCTGACCAAGGATGCATGCATCAACAATATCCCAATTTGCATCATTTTCGGGTTTTGGCTCAGTTATGTGTCTAAGCTGATTCCTACCTGTCAAAGTGAGCTTTACAATTTTCTTCCACTGATGAAAGTTAGAACTACCCACAAGCTTCTTATCAGTAACTCGATTAGACGAAGAGGACATCACCTCAGTCATCACAGGATTATTCTTCTCAGAATCACCCATTTTTCAGCAACAATAAGAGGATTCTCACTCCAAGCACCTCAATCTTAACCACAACAATTCAGCAATCCAACAGACCGTATATTGGCACAACAATTCAACACACTAGCTCCCAAGGCTTGTCAACGTTATTAGCATTCCCCTACAACTCCACCAATCAATAAACCATAAGCCGATTGATCAAACACCCATAATCTAAGGTCTAACAACCAAGTAATCTAACCTGGCCAGACCTCGAAACTTCAATAGAGTCAATCACATCAATGGCGAGCCACCAGAGGAGTCACCAAGCCACAATCTACCACATCACTTCACGACCGCAAGAGCCGGGAGTCACCGAGCCACAAGAAGACCTTCAATCACATCAATGGTGAGGAAACCTCCGGTCACCGAGCTTGCGTGACTCGGACGACCTGAATCACGCGAGCTGGACCCCCGTGCGAGCTTAGGTTGCGTGGCTGGAGCCCCGCGCGAGCTAGATTGTGCGAGCTGGAGCCCCGCGCGAGTTGGGGTTGCTGGCGACGGGTTGTTCCGGCGAGCTGGGTTGCGCGGCTAGAGCCTCGCGCAAGCTGAGGTCGCCGGCAACGGGTTGTTCCTACGAGCTTGGTCGCGAGTATGGGGGAGAGGTTTAGGTACCAGACTCTGATACCATGAGAAAGAGAGAGAGAGGGAAAAGTGTGTTTTGTATTCACCGATAGTGTCCAATACATATACCAAAAATAAGTCATAAAGGTCCTAAAAATCATTTTACCCTTTTTCTACTCCTAACAATCACCATAGACACAACGATGTCACTGTTTACACCCAAAAGCAGATTGTTCTATTGATCAACAATTCAACATCAAAATATGGCATTGTTGATTCTAGAAGGAGCAGTGAACTGTACAAGTCCCAAAAACAATTTGCAAATCGATCCTACCCTACGTAGAAGTGCATGCTCATAGCAAAAAGACCCAAAAGCTGCACTAATAACTACAAATTTTGTCAAAGGTCAATCCTGCAAAAAAATGAGAGTTTAGAATTACTTCATGCAAAAATGAGCTAAAATAATTGATGGAATCATTTTGTCACATTAAACAAGCATCATACCTTGTGCAAGGTGCCTCCTATGAATGAAGACGCTTTTCTCTTTCTCTTTTCCACAGCGCCCTTGATCCGAGTATTTAGTACACCTTTTGGCCTTCTCCGATGTGGATCACGTACTTGAATTCCACGATTTTCTGCATATTCAGCTTCATCACCTTCCACCAAGAAATGAACATGATCTTTACCCGTTAAAGATTGCATTTTATTTGTAATTTCAGAGTGAAGACGCAACAAGGTTGTAGTTGCAAGCTCCTCTGTAACATCATGATTGGCACCATCATTCATAACACTGAAAGCTAACCGCATCAACCTCTTCAAACGCAATGTCTTTGATTAAACTGCATGATGAGAGCTTTGTGCAACATCTTCACAATAAGTCCCTTGTTTTGCAACTTTTGTTCACCTCTTCAAAATGTATTGTGATGGAATGCTTGCAACATTTACAACACGGGTCAAGATGCATAAAGTATGCCTATACAACCATCCTCGCATTTCAAATAACTTGCAGCTACATGTAATGGCAGAATCACTTGGACTAAAATGGACAATATGCTTCCGTTCACTACTTCAGGTTCCCACGATATAAGTGTGCAACGGCCCATCAGTTTCTAATCCAAGAACATGTACAAACAAAACATTCATGAACTCGGCCTGGAAATTCCTATAAATGACATGAGTATATACGCTTACAGCATGTTTCAAAATTGCATTGTCAACCATAATTCGTGGCTTTCCTCGAGCACACTCAAAATCATCAACAACTTCAGCATTGTGCATTTTTTTAGCTTGCTTTTCATAATGTTTGACAAATTCAGTCAAAGTCATGGTCTTACATGCCATATCTTGAAAGACACTATTTGTGCTTTCACTTCTTTGTGTAGATCTAATTCCTGTAGAAAAGAAATCACGGCCAAATGCAAGACACCATTTATGATGCAGTTGATACAAACTATCCAACTACTTGTTGTCACCCAAGCTCCACTCCTGACACATTGCTTTTCAAGTGTTCTCCACTTCCAGTTCAGATTCACAATCATATAGAAGCTTTTGCCAATATTTATCACGAAAACCCGGTTTTCCAAGAAGATGTGCAATATGATGCGTAGCATTTTTTGCAATATGCCATACACATAAGCGATGATCAGAATTTGGAAAAATAGTTCTAATAGCATTTGCCATGGCATGATCTTGATCAGTGAAAATAGTTTTGGGTGCTTTATTACCCATCACCTCTAAAAAGGATCGAAATGCCCAAACAAAAGAACCAATAGTTTCATCCGATAGAAAAGCACAACCAAATATCACATTTTTCCAATGATGATTCAAGCCAACAAATGGTGCACATATCATATTGTACTTATTTGTACAGTAAGTGGTATCAAATACCAACACATCTCCAAAACTTTCATAGTCCAACTTGGATACATCATCGGACCAAAAGAAATTGGTCAGTCTCTGTTCCTTATCCAATTGAAATGTATAAGAAAAATTGATTCCATTTGATTGTAAGCAATTAAAATGGTTAATAAGACTTTGACAATCCCCCACACTAATCAGGTTCCTTCTTTTGGATTGCAAGAAATTTTGACAATCACTTAATGTGAAGCCAACATTTTCCAGTCCCCCCGCTTCACTGCTAAGGTAGGTATATGCTTTCGTAGCCCTTATACTAGCCCCTACCATGGAAGTCAATATACCTTTACTAGTATTCGTGATGTGTCGATATGATCGTATAAGATGTTTTTGTTTGTCTTCAATGAAGGGATGATTATGGACATCCTCAAACTTGGAAACTACCCAAACTCCATCTTCAATTACGAATTTAATGCAAGCTTGACATCCAGTTCTCTTTACTGTCATATAAACATCTCTTTGTTCATGAGGTGGGATTGGTGGAGAGTGTCCTTCACAATTACAAACAAATTTGCATCGTCGCAATATCCTTTTCCTATTACTTGCTTTTTGTCCTTTTCGCACTCCAAATCCCTTGCAAATTGCATATGCATTGTATGTATTATAATCTTCGTCCTCATTAGCAAACACCATGCCAATTCTAAATTCAAATTCTTCATCAACATTATGCACGATGATATTATCTTTTGGAGCCTCTACAATTTAAAAAAATATCTAATTATTTAGAGAAGAAAGATAAAGTGGAAACAAATTTAATTCTAAAAGGATGAAGTCATACCCATTTATCCTGAGAAGAAGTCGATTTAGCTACGGGGGACAGGAATATGCTTCCACTTCTTTAAATCAACATCTACCGCAAAACAGACGTTTACAACTTAAAAGAAGATAAGAGAAAATGTCTGATGTTGCAAACCAAAAAGGAAATAACAGCATACTATGACATAGAAATCACCCTGTCGACCCTTGTAGTGTACTCTTAGTACACCATGACTACCACCGAGAGTGATGTGTATAAATGCCAGAAAAAAAAAAGTGTTAATGACAGAATGTGACAAAAAGGAGTAATAATATAATAGGACAAGAATACTTACTTGGTTGTGTTCAGGATTCGGTGTGGTGATTTCTTTTAATTTCTGTCCTACTGCAAATTGAACAAGCAAATGTTCTATCTAAAACCAACCCTTAGAGATAAGGGCAGTGCAAAGTCATAATCATGCCTCCCCTTCTTATGCAGCATATGTTTACCACCAAAAGCAGCACTTGGAACACAACAAGACACGATATGGCTATGGCAAGTTTACCACCAGTGGACAAGCCGTCATTTTATACAAAATAGAGGACAGGCGAAGAAGGTACACCACACAAGCCTTTGTTATGAAACAAAATGCTCATGAAAATGCTTCAAGGTGGAAAAACAGATCAAGCACACTACTATAATGCAACCTAACCTAAAAAGAAAGTGACAGGCAAGTTATCAGACAAACTCAAAGACCCTTTTTTTTGCGCTAAAAAAAAAGAACTGAAATGACCAGCAAGTCATTAGTTTGTATGCTGCCAGCAAGAATTGACGTATAGCTTCATGCAGGATGATGAGAAGCGAAGATGACTGACTCGAGCCTAACAAGACATAGATCCGAAAGCCAATTTCAGGGTAGGAATCAATATAAGACCAATGAACCAAACGACTTGTTAGCAAAACATTAGAAAATTTCAGTAAACTATCCACGACTTGATGATTGAGCAAATTGCATAGACGTTACTTTCATGAAGCAGTCTGTATCAAGATATTGAATTAATTACCAAAGAAAACACACAGAACGCTGCTGCTAGCAGATTTGGCATTTCCAAAAATGAGGACTGGGATGTTCCAACTTGAAAAGATCTTATTTTTCTTCTGTATATATCTCTAATCAGAACAGGTAGCATATTCATGGATATCAACCACACGAAAAGACTTGTAGCATTAAGGAGGATTAAAAAGTTAAAAGACGTCTTATTGGACAATGTACATATGCCAAGTCGTGTAATGTCTGCCACCTAACCCAAGCAAGACTTTCTTCTTAGCAACATCCATGGTACACTATTAGAGGCAAATATATAATTCCATGGTCTTGAGCAATAAAGGACTAATATTTATAGTCATGAGCACTTGTGCTGTCTCAGTTTCCTGTACTCAACATTTCACATCTACGACGAAGGTGAATATCTTTTGTAAAGAAACACATAAGTTATATTGCTTCCCCAATTGTCTTTTGAAGGGGAGAAAACACATCTACAGAGTGATGAATTCAGTCACAAAGTCATACAAATAGCCTAGAAATGATATTGCCAAAGAAAGGCTAATTTCTTATAATATCAATTAAAGCATGAGTGAATACCTGCTCTAGCTCCCAACTGCAGGCTCTCCTCCAAGCCCAAGACCTTCTCAAACCAACTTCATCGGAACAAGTCACATGTCAGACTAAGGAATTAAAAAAATCTAAAAAAAGGATCAGATTCAGGAGCAAGAAGATCAATACTTTTACACAACTACATAAGGAATTAATAATAACACCCCCTGAAATGCCATTGTACACTTATTTGTCCTAAAGTTTGAAATGATGCACCGATTGTTTTTCCAGTATTATAGGATCAACACAGAGTTTTGCCACACCAAGAACAACTGATTTTGTGTAAGAGTTACAAAAGGAAGGGTTGTCGTAGGATTTGTTCATACAAATCCGCAAACAATATATGAGTTAGTATAATATCAGTATGATGAACGCAGTTGTCGTCGTGATTTACTCTAGAATTGCATACGATCAAATCACTATCGCACCATATCCACCACGATAACTGCAAATGACATACCGGAATGTGCAAACTAATCACCACAAGAGGCAAATTAAAAGCAGGGACATGCCACCAAATAGTACTCTATATATAAAAAGCTATGAACAAAACTTGAGCAATGACTTTAGCAGCATCCAGTCTCATCCAGTATCCTTCGGTACTACCTAAATCAAGCACAAAAACACCACTGTATTGATAATTACTATGTATTGATAATTTCTCCACCTTCATACCTCTATGGAAATGCAGACTCCTAGTGGCCCAAAGTATTATGGAACGAGTTGCTTTGACACAGACAAGTGAAAATGAAGTAAATCCCACTTGCTTGCTTAAAAGATAATCGAAACAAGATGAAGATTTACTTTCTATTACAAATACCTCACTTCAAGACAATCTACAATCTGTATATTCACATAATTTATTTATTTTTTTCTTTTACATCAAGCAGCCTTCAAGGTAGTGTAAATTTGGTTAAAATCCTTTCGCGATGCATTGACAGAACAATACATAGTCAGAATAATGGCAAATCCCAATGCACCGCCACCTTAGCCGGCTTCTTGAATAACTTTTCCCATCCCCCGTCCACAAGCACAGTTCCACAAGACTCAACACAAAACCACCAAGCCAAAAGGCAGCGAGAATTAGCCAATCGGATTAAAAGCAAGCAGCTTCAGTGCTGAAGAAATTAGGTTTTTCACACACTCAAGAGCTCCGTCGCGAGCAAATTATATCGCGATCTGACACTATTACGTCACGTCACGTCACATCGCATCACATTTTCCTTCTTTCCGGCATTTCATCGGAATCAACACAGGCGAGGAAGACGAAGAAACATCAACCTCGCCACCCTACAAACGAAGGGCTCGACTCGAGAGAACGATCGACTCCTGAAATCGACATGGAGTGTTCAGCCAAACAGACACTTTCGCGAGAACGGTGGAATTTAGAGGATGATCGGAAGGCGGGCTTACCGGGGTCCGGCGGCAGAGGGACTTGCGTCTTGGTCGGCGGAGGAGGAAGAGGTGCGGAAGACCCCAGCTTTCTCTCTCTCTCTTTCTCTAGCGAAGCTTATCAAATCTCTTGCTTTGAAGTGAGAAATGGGTTGGTGATAGCGCAACTGTTTTCGAAGCTCATTTTGGAAGCTCGGCTGGCTACTTGCTCCAGTTGGGCGACGGGTCCTACAGGGGCGAGTAGCTAGCCCCGGAGGTGTAAAGCAAGTCGGGTCCGGGTCTTGGTAAGGGACAGCCGAGACGTCGAGGACGGCGACAACGTCGACAGGGAGTTCGACTTTGCCTCTCTTCTGGGTCGTCTGGCTAAAACCACGACTCGCGTCAGTCTCTCTCTCCGACAACCTTTTCTTCAGAGGGAAGCTCGTGCCATCAACCCTCCGACCTCGACCCCACTCCACCATGCCTCCGTTGTTTTCCAGCAGCGCGTTCGGCAATGGTTGTCCAGAGATGATCCTCAGATTTTGCGAGACGGAGAGAGGGAGGTATGAAGCGTGAGGCCTGAAGTTTTGAAATAAAGAAAGAGAGAGGGTGGGGGAGAAGACGCAGGAAAGGAAAAGAGAAAGAGAGAACACGCGCGTCTAAAAACTTTCCAATTTTTCTTCTTCTTTTTTTCCACGTCACTTGACACGTGTCACTTTCTTAATGGAACAAATATGCCACGTAGGACAATGACGTGGCAGTATGATACTAGTGAATATTTTCTCGATTTTAAGGCAAAAACCGAAGGATCTCATGTCATGTGAGAGATTTTTTAAATTCACTCTTGTGCTACCAGGAAACAAAATTCTATTTAGCTTGGATTTTTAAGAATTAATTTGAAGGCATGACCAATAGGAAAACAAGCTAAACTTAGAAATTAATTGCAGTAGCGTGACGGGCTGAAGAAGTAAAAGTCAGTACTATTGAAATGCATGCAAGACATGTGAGTAGAGGTGAGTCTCAATTACATAGATGAAAATGAAAGAGTAGCCAATATATTCTATTGGATATATAGTCCATCGGTTCGCATGTCATCCCATTATGAGGTACCGGATTTTATCTAGTGCAATAATAGATTTTGTCTATTAATTATGCAAATGAATATATATATTATTAAGTGCATATGTTAAATTATATCTCGAGTTTGAATCGTTACAAAACACTATCCCGTCGGATTATTATATAAATACGAATTGCACGAATGAAAGAAAAAAAATGAAGGGAAAGATCTTTGCCACTAAGGTCGCATAGAAACCATTCTCGCGCCCATAATATGATTCTGGGCCCAAAATATGATTCCGGGCATAAATGATTCTTTTTGATTCTCGTGCTGAAATAATTTCTAAGCATTTGAAGGCGTTTGGTAACTACCCAAAATTTTTGTTCTTAGAATAGAAAAAGAACATAAATGCGTTTGGTAACTACACAAAATTTCTTTTTATTAATAATATTTTGAATTTTTTAATATTTATTTCTTTTTTTTCTCTTTCTTTCCCCTTCCTTTCTTGGCCATGGCTGGCCATCTGCGCCAGCGACCGGCCATAGGCCAGGGCCGGCGAGGGTGTTGCGGCCCTCGTCGGTGGCGACGGCGAGGTCGGCCTCGCCTTGGCTGGGCCTCGCCCAGATCTGGCGAGACCGACCTTGCCGTTGCCACCCAGGTCTGTCGCCTTGGTGGCGACGACGAGGCCGGCCTCGCCTTGGCTGGGTGAGGCTGCTCGCCCTAGCCGGCCCTAGCCTGTGGCTGGTGGCCGGCGGCGGTGGCCGGTGGCCGATGGTCGACGGGTGGCGGGGCCGAAGAACAACAACAACAAAAAAAAAAGAAAAAAACCAAGAAGAATCAGTTCTAAAAAAAATTGTTCTAGAATCAAGAAGCTACTTTTTTTTTATTCTTGATTCTATTCCAAAACTGATTCTTAACACAATTTTTTGCAAAATTGTGCCCGGGCACAAAAAATTTAACAAACGAATTTCTGTTCCCAAACTGATTTTGGGAACAAAAGAACATAATTAATCACTAT